GGAAAATGTTGGCAAATTTGTGGCCTTTGTTAGTAAAAATGGTAGAAAATAAAACACAGCTAAAAAGTTGCTAGATCTATCAATAAAATGGTAAAGTCCGTGCACTGTAGTAAATCCAAAGTAACATAGTCAAGCAACAGTTCGTATAAAAAATCAATACATGGAAAGAATTGTTGTTTGTTTTTGTTTGCAGAAAAGATTGACCTGCAGCGAGTTATTCAAACGAAATATAAAAGAGAAGGATAACACGAACGTTGCGCTAAAAATCAAGAGAAAGTACAACGTCTCTCTTGATACAAAAAATTCAAGTTCTCGTTCTTCAATGCCAATCAGGGCTGCCAACTTCGCTCAAACCGTGCCATTTTTGGCCTTATTTTACTTCTAATGGAGTGTATACAACTGGTTTATCCTATTTTGGAGTTGGAGTTTTGTTTTAGGAATGTGTTTCTAATTTTAATGCTAAATGGTAAGAATTTAAAAGAGTGGCACCTTTTTTGGCACTTTTATTTCTCTACTTGGCACGTTTTTGCACTTTTTTACCGTCAATATGGCACTTCATAGCTAAGGATGGTTGGCAGCCCTGGCAGCATAAATATATATATATCAACGATGCCAACTTCCGGAGAATTCCCCGATTTGTGGGGAATTTGTCTCGTTGCGGGGAATCGGGGAATAGCTGCTTTTTGCGGGGAATTTTGACTATTTAATTTTAAATCATTAAATAACTTACCTAGAGAGCAGAATATTTTTTGTAATGTATTGTTATTATTAAACTAAATTAAATTTTCTTTTAAAACTTACTAGTAAAAAGTTGAAAATTTTGATGATTTTTTTTTTTTAATTTTTTGAATTTTGACTTGACTTTGACTTTTTTTATACAATAAGATACATTTTTATAAAAAATTAGTAAAAAAAAAAATAGCATTTAAATGTTGTATTGGTAAATTTCGCGGTGCTAACGGGGATAAAGATGAAATGATTTGGCATCCCTGATATGTATATATACACAAAAAGAATAATTGAATCTTGCAGAGACTCTCAAACTTGTCTCTCAATAAATTTAATAATAAATTTCCGCCGCTGTTGAGCAATGTCTGCTATTCAACGCTCGAATATCAATATATGAGTTTGAAATAAATGTCAACACACAACAAGTACATATCTCTACCTGAACTGACCGCTACCTGTTCTCCTATGTTGTGTAAGCTGCAAACGAATATGTATTCGTTTTTACTACGTGAGTGTATGTAAATTCAAAACTTTAACTTTCAAGCCATTTTTCTCTAGATCTTGATTATGACACTCTTGCAGCAAATGTGCGATATGATTTGTGTATGATTTATATGCATCTATTCAATAACACGTGAGATATCTACATATACAAAAGATTATAAATATGCTGTTGCTAACTAAGTTCTCGAACGTTGAATACTTAAGCAGGGATCACACGATATGGACATTTGTAGAGATTTGTACATTTTGGCAGCCACTTGGCTGGTTTTGTCTACATACAATTTGTATCGAGAGTGAGTTCACATCAACAAAAAAAAAAACTCCCACTCTGTAACTGCCGAAAATCTTATTCGATGCTTTCACTGTGTTTGTATAAAAAAAAAATATATATATTACTAACATTATTGGCATATAATGCCTCTTTTTGCATTAATCGCACACTGCTAGCTTCAGCACCCAAAAGGTTTCGTCGACAATTTTAAAACCTAATTTCTCAAACATGGGACGTGAAATTTTATTTTCAAACACCACTGGCGTAAAGCCAAACGCCTTGACATGAAGCGTACGAGTATATTTCCTATCCACGTCGCATGTGTGCTTCCTGGATGAAGGAAATTAAATTCTCCTTTGTATGAATTTTAAACAAAGTTTAAGTGATACGAACAGCAAATACCAAGCAACTAATTGGGTTTCGCCATCAAATGCGCCGACACTATCATTATAGCGTATCAAACGTTCCACATAACGGATTGTATCAGGCCCACGTTATGACCAATAGCCGTCAACTGTTTTCGCATAGACTGGAAGTAAGCGCTGCAAAGTGTAGCCCACTGAAAATCAAAAATTAAACAGTTTAAACTACCGAAGATTCGGAGTTATTGCTATAAGCTGCACTTACTCCATGCTAAAACTTAATGCCAACTTCCCACCTAAATGATACGAAATAAGTATTCACTAAATTTTATATCCTCCATACCCAGCCCGTGATCGAAGAATCATTGCTCCACAGCCGCCAGCATACGCTCGGGAAAACCACAAATCAAGTAGCTGGTGTATTTATCGAGCAAATTGAAAGCAGCTACCAGACGTGATTTGTTCTGGGTGAGCGTAATACCATACCATGATCATATCGTTTAAACTAAAGTGCGGAAATAAAATACGATTTTTAATTGTTCAGAAAAGTTTCGAATTTATCTCAGCGAACACACTCACACTGCCCACAAAAGTGCCATCTGTCCCCCAGTCGCCATCTAGAGAATATAAATTAACATCAAGTTCTTCATTTTGTATCACCCAGTCGATAAAGCATTACAGTAGGCTATAGCCAGAGGAACTTTTTCGATGTCCCACACATAAATCTCGTAACTGCGGCCACTCATCTCACGGAATTTTCAACAACGTGTGTGCTATTTTAAATTTGGGTACATTCCAAAACGACAAAATACAAAGCATCACTCTCTTTTATTTCTAAACCGTACTAGAAGAAAAAGTCTAAATTGCGCAACCTTGTTGAAAACTAGTATCTAACCGTGGTTGCGCACATTTGGCTTTGCAATCTGCTTAGGTTTAGAAATAAAAGAGACTAATGAATAGTATTTTGACGTTTTGGAATCCAGCCTTTTACTTACTCTGGTTATTTTTAGTTTATTATTGCCGATAATTTTATTGTTTCTTTGTCCTAGGTTGGGAAGCGCTGAACTGCGTAGCTCTGCGGTCGGCTTAAGAGGAGTAGTGACTAGTGATCGGACTTAAATTTGTGTGGTAGAATCTGGAAAAAGTGGGTAAGATTTCAAAAAAATGTGGTAGATCTCAGGATTTGGATCAAACTCTATACAAAAATTTAAAAAATTCTGCAAGGTTTCACCTAATTTACAAACATTTTAATTAGAATCTAAAACAAAATAAATTTTAGTATAATAAGGTGCAAGATTGAAGTTGCTAAAAATTGCAATTTTTTTCCTCGACAGTTTCGATCATATTTTGAAGGAACAAATGTGGCTCGTTCCAGAAACCGCTACTTGGGATTTGCCGATTTTGACAGTTCTCAAGTAAAAGTAAACAACACTATAAAATCTTTGGATGCACTGAAATTTGCTAATACTTTCACAAAAATCGCCGGTTTTTATCATTTTCGCTCTTAATTTTTTTTATAAATCATATATTTTGAAACTTAACATAATGAAACAAGGTTTACTGTCGAAAAATTCTGCCTGTTGCTTACTGTTTCACAATTTTTGCTCTTAAAATTAAGGAAATTATGTCGAGCAAAAATAAAGCTACTCAAAAACGCGATTATGTGGTAGATTTCATTCCTTGTGTGATAGATGCTCAAAAAAGTGGCAGGTCTACTACAATGTGGTATAAGTCCGATCACTGAAAGTAACATAAAGAGCGCAAATATTTCTCGCTGCGGTTTCAACTTACCACACACAAATGTACCTACCAATGTTGCGAGATTCTTCGTTTTACCTGTAAATTACAGTTTTTTAGACAAGCTCACAGTTGTTTAAATTGCCTCCTAGTGCAAACTACACTTTTTTCCGAAATTTCCGATCTGAACGGATAAATTAAAATTTTTCTTTCGGTATGCTGTAAGTAAATTTTAAATATAAAAGGGAACGATGAAGTTGGAGCATTTTCTCATTTGAAACAGATGCTTTCAGCTGTCCTTTGAATTCCAACCGCCACAGCAAATGTGGAAAATGTTGTTTTCTCAAATCCATTTGAATAAAAAAGGAAATAAACTAGAAATTCCAGCACTCTCTGGTATTTTAAGAACTGAAGATTTATTAAAAGCTGCTGCAGGAGGTACCCAATTTGAGGCATCGAAAAAATGCCCAAAAATATTAATAAAGCAGTTTACAAAAAATAATGATACTGAATATCATTAAAACCAAATGCGATTTAAATGTTCCTTTTTGTAAAGTATTTTTGTTTGATTAAGTATAAGTTAAACGGTTTAAGTAATTTAATTTTAGGAGAATAGTTTTTTTGTTCTTTGTGTTTAGTTATGTTAGTTAATAACATCTGGTAACACCGAAATGTACATATGTACATACATATGTTTCACATGTGTACTTTAAATAAACTCTGTGTTCGTATGGAATAGTAGCTTATGTAGGGGAGTTGGTTTTAGTATAATGCGGCATTCCCTTCGTTCTTTAAACGACAAGGATTTTTTTGATGAGACTAAATAAGAATATTGACTTGCTTATATCGGAACTATTTATTGCACGTTTATTTGTCAAAAGTTCTTCAACGGTTCGGCGCCAGTGAGTCATTCGCAATCGTATGCTGCGAATGCCGCATTATACTAAAGCCAGCCTTTCGATATAAGCTACTGTTCCATACGACCACAGAATTATACTGGTATGAAACCAGTGTTACCGTTGCACATTTTCAAAAACTTGCAGACATTTTAAGAGAGTACCTACTGAAATGCTTACTCACTGCTCAGTTATGTATGTATGAGAAAGTTTAACTTTTTGCTGTATTATTTTCAAACCTGTTTGTGATACTAAAATTATCATCATTCTGCTCATTCATATATGTATGTACACATGTGATTATTTATTTTCTCCGTTGCTGCTCAAAAGTGAGAAAATGAGAAGCATTTTTTTTTTTGTTTTTACTAGGCATACATACATATGTAGCGCGATTGAGAGAAGTGTATTCTATCATTCTTGCATATGTAGGTACATATATGAGGTATTACAATTTTGAGAATTTGTCATAAGTGAGAAGACTTAGCTACTTTGCTCAGTACACTTTCCGCAGTTCGAGGGAGAAAACTGTCGAAATTTTTTCTACCTTGTTGAATGTGCGTTGGAATTAGCTTCAGAAAATCTATTGTTGTTTCAAAGGCCGTGCATATTTTTTTGTTTTCTTTTGGCGTGGAGTGTGTGTTTAAAGATGTCTAAAAAAAGATTTAATATAGAAAAATTTGTGTGGTACGATGCATCTTCAAATAAAAGTGTTTGCCTAATAGAAACTTGCAAAAAGGAGCTCAGTGGAAAGATAAAGGGGAACATTAAAAGACATTATAAACTAGTTCATAGGCAAGATATTGAAAGCGGCGATGAAAGCGATAGCGACGATGTTCCTATATGCAAAAAAAGTAAAAACACAATTAAGTTAAGCACTACTATGAATAAAGCCGATTTTTTGAAGTGTTGCGTTGGATTGGTGACAAAGCAAAATATTCCATTTAGAATATTTGACGACAATGAGTGTTTTAAGCAACTAATTGCACCATACGAGCAGAAATTTGACATAAATTTAAACACAAACAATGTGGGAACAGTTTTGGAGAATGCATATAAACATATAAAATCCGAAATATCAGCTTTAGTTAAAAACAAAATGATTTGCCTCAAAATTGACATTGCCAGCCGAATGGAAGGAAGTGTCCTTGGTATCAACATACAGTACATTAAGGACTACAAAATTTGTATTCACACTATTGGTAAGTAATATTCTCATTTTGATTGTTGACTTTTCCGACAGGACATGATTATGGTGTTTTTGGAACGATTTTCGGTTCCCTTGTCAAATTTGGTTGGGAGACCAATGAGAATAATCAAAATGGCACAACGCCGTAATCGGTTTGTCTGCAATTATAATTGACAAGCGATAACGGAAAATCGTTGCAAAATGCATCACTATTGGTAAGCTAGAGCACTTTAAAGCTCAAAATTAACCGCAAAATTTAATCTTTTTATTTATATACGACAAATAGCGGCCGCTGTAGTGTAGTGGTTAGCAGTGCGCGAAGTGGTAGGTAGCAGGGCCTGGGTTCAAGCCTTGCCAAAAACAGCTTCCTATAATAATACAACCGCCGTTCGGAGTCGGCGTAAAACTGTAGATCCGTTAAAAAAATTTTGTGGAAATCTGCTGGCATTTTTTTCTTTTCGTTTGGTGGCTGAATTGACACAGCCACTGGTCCTGATGTTCGTATCGGAAAATGATTAGTTTTAAATTAACTAACATACCAATCCGGCTCCTCTCGATAGTACCTTTTGGATATGAAAATTATTATGTTTACTTACTATTAAATCGTCTCAGATTGATAATACTACTACTTATATTTTGTAAAAAAAAAAACATTTCTTAACCTCACTTAATTTTCACATTTGAATTATATAAATTAGTTTAAAAAACATTTTTTTTTTTCAGGTATGGTGCAAACAACAAACCGACATACTGCCGCGAACTTGAAAGAGGAAATTTTGAAATGCCTTGAAGAATATAATATTCGTATAAACCAAATTTATTCGTATACAACCGATAATGCAGCCAGTGTATTAAAGCTGTCGAGATTATTGCAAGGAGAGCATCACGATATTATAGACAATGAGATGGTCGACATTGACGTTGCCGAGTGCAATCTGGTTGAATCGAATGTCGCGTCGGTTTTTTCGGCTGTGCGTTGCGTAGCACATGCAGTTCAATTAGCGGCTGATGATGTAATAAAAACACTCGAAAACGACATCGAAGAATGTAGAATAATAGCTAAGAAAGTTCGAACCTTAGTGACACCGGATAACGATGAAATCAGCTTGCCATGCTTAGATGTCATAACAAGATGGAATTCAACTTACAATATGATATGCGAAATTCTTTCGCTTAAAGAATTTATTGAAAACATGGACAATTTTAACAGCTTTGACATAAACTGGATATTCATCCAAAATTTTGTAATGGCATTTGCGCCATTGGCAAAATGCACTTTAAAACTTCAAAAGGAACAATATATATTGGGAGACTTTCTTCGCGATTGGCTAGCATGTGAGTTGGAATTGGAAGAACTAGCTTCTCTAAACCAATACGCGGCAGCTCTCCTAAATGCGATGAGGAGCAGAAAAGATATTCTTTTGAAGCATGATGCCTTTGCAGCCGCAATATATCTTGATCCGCGCTATAATTTCAATGGTACACCTTTTCTTACTGAAGATTGTAAGAAACGCGCAATGGTATGAAAAACTAAATATCGCACAATTTCAACAAAACGGGCATATAGCAAAATTTTACTTGTTCTATAAAATAATCATTATATATATATATATATAGTTACTTAAATTTAGAAAGGCCTTAACTATATTTTTTGAATTCGATTTCTTTGCCTATCTTTCGCAAATTTTTGTGGAAAATGCTGAAAAAATTACTGCTGTAATAAATAATGTAGTTTTTTATAAATAAAAAAATGGTTTAAACAAACTAGGAACTAAGGAACTTAAATTTTTTAAGTTTAAGGAAGTAGAGCCTCTCTATATTATGGCAATAAAATACATACACCGGCGGCAGAAATAATAGACTCGTCGTACTTTTAAGAATTTTGGCTATGTTTCTTTAGTCTATTTTATGTTTAATAAGTAGTTATACAACAAAGATAAATCCGCTTTTCGAACTTTGAGCAAAAATTTGTAAAATTGTCACCAAATATTCAAATTTTTTATTCAGAATTTTTAAACAAATTTTTGGTATGCAGCTTTGTCTCCCATTTAATTTTAGTATAATAAAGTGCAAGTTTCAATTGGCTACAAAATACCGTTGATTTTTAAGAATTTTTTTTTTGCTGATGTGCTCGAAAATTTTCTTATATGGATGGGAATACCTAGCAGCGTCAACAAAAAAAAAAAATTGTCAAAAAGCAAAGGTATTTCTTAGCCACTTGAAACTTACACTTTATTACACTAAACTTGAATGACATATAAGACTGCATACCAAAAATGTTTCTTAAAATTCTGAATAAAAAGTTTGAAAATTCGTCGAATTTTTATAATTTTTGTTCAAAGTTTGAAAAGCGGATTTATAGGATGTTTGTTGTATAGCTACCTAGGCTTTTATAAAAAATATTAAACTTAAGAAAAACTAAAGAAATTCATATAGGCAAAATTCATAAAAGTACGACGAGTCTATTATTTCTACCGCCAGTGTATGTACATGCATTATGAAATTTTGTTAGTTTAGTTGAAACTGTGCGATATATAAATATATACATATACATTACACACTTACATGATTTATGCTTTAGATTTTTAATAATTTCTTTTTAAAGGATCATTTACTTAAAGTATATGAAATGGTGAAGCATTTGGAGAGTGATTCGTATGAGCAGGAGTTTATTAAATGTTCCAATTCATCAAGTTCCAGTTCCCAAGACGACATTCCCACTTCATCAGCGAGTGCTTACGATAAGCTGGATCTTCACGTCCAAAATTTAATGAACACACAAAAGTTATCATCTCAAGGCCTGGCAGCGAGCACTAAACTGAAACTAATGAGACTTTGTGAAGGAGAAAGACTGTCCTTTGGTACCAATGTTCTTGAGTATTGGCGAAAATCGTGTGATAGAGAAAAGGAATTGACGCTAATTGTAGAAACTATATTAGCCCTGCCTGCCACTCAGGTTTCTGTGGAGCGTTCATTTAGCGCATTATCTACAATATTAACAAATTTAAAATCAAAGCTTTCAAAAAAATCTCTTTCTAATTTAGTCATAGTAAAGTTAAATTATGAGCTCCTAAATTTTTCAAATTTTGATCTTGATGATAATACAATAGCAAAGCAAATTGCTTTCACCCATGTATGAATATTCATTATATATATTTATGTACATATGTATGTATACGAACACATAAGACCAACATAATATAAACGCGAATTTTTACAAGTTTCAACCATTTTGCTTTTGTTTTTTTAATGTTTACTAATTTTCATGGAATAGTCAGTATGGCGTACACCGAAGCAACACTAGAACATCTAGTGGGCGTCGGTTTCCCCGGGTGAGACAATACAGCGAATACGGTCAGTCTTGTGACAGAAACCTCTAAGGTTCCTTCTTCAGTTATTCTGATAAATCCTAAAACAACCTTTGGAGGCGAGTTCCTTATTATATATTTAAAACGAACTTATCTTTGTTTAAAGCCATTCCTCGCATTCAAGGTAGAGTCTATATATTGACTTTATGCTCTCAACAATTCCCCGGTGTAGTAATTGCTGCCTTGTGAGCAGAACCACGCAAAGTTGCCTTGGGCTCCTCTGTGACCTGTTTTGTTACCGTTTTCGTATCAATGTAGATCTCTATGATAAAAAAATGCATCCATATCCGCAGTTGGGCCAGATTTCGCCAATACAGTGACGGAGAGACATGCCACCTTTACAAAAAATGTATCAAAATTGGAGTCCAATTTAACTTTTATGTAACCTTATTCCTAAGTCTTTGACCTCATCAGAGGGAATATGCAATTGTATGGTACGAGAAAAGCTTCTTTTGGTTTACTGCTGAGGCCCTCTTTCATCAACTAGTTTGAACCAGTACCTAGATCCATTATAAGCACAAATGATTAGGAGCCCGTCTACCATGAGAAAACAAAGAAAAGAAGAAGAATACCTGAAACCTGAGCCAATGAAACCAACAGTAGAGTTGAATGTGCCCCAATAATGTAGAAATAAAACCATCGGAAGCATTTTCGAAAGTTTCCTGCAGAAGTACGTATCTTCCTCCAAATGTACGTGATATGACACCTTAAATTGAAACCCGCCACAACAACAAAAAAATCCCAAATGTTCAGTTGAGGCAAAAAAATGTTGATAGTGCGCAACCGACGCACAGTGTTTCGACTATATGGAGCAGGGGAGCCAACTCGTTGGGAATTCCCCGATTTGCAGGGAACTTCAGTCTGCGTGGGGAATCGGGGAACGGACCGTTTTTTGTGGGGAATTAAAGACGCTGTGATATAAGCAACTCCATATGTACATACCTATAATTTAAGTTTTTTGTTACTTTTGAATTGAAGTTTTTTAGTTCATTCTTTAACGAAAACCGCTTAAATCTAAGTTTCAAACTTTGTGCAATATTTGAAAAATAAATTCAACAAACTTTCGTAAAAATTTCGAGCTTTTTAATTAGATTTTTTAGAATGATTTTGAGTATGCAGTTTTGTAGCTCGTTGGGGAATTCTCAAAAATGAGTTGGCTACCCTGATATGGAGGCAGGTGGAAAAAGCCATATTGACAGTTGATACAAAAATCTGCGAACAGTACATCTCCAAAAAAAAAACATACTAGGAGTTGCAGGAATCGACTGATCACTTTAGTTGCGTTTGGTGTTGGCCCCATAAGAGAAAGGGTCTCTTTTTCAACTGTAATCGATTATTTGCGTGTCATGGATTATTCACTTGAAGGTATTTATCATTTTTTTGGTACTTTTTTTATAAAAGTATCACGGACCGCAAATAAGTGTTATGGATTGAATAAAAAATTATTGTGAAGGCAGGGTCCAAAACATATGGGTTATATAAAATTTATGGTTTCTCAAAGATCAACGCGGGTAAGGTATACATCTTTGTTTAAATTTATTTTACGTTCACAAAATATATATATTTTTTTTGTATTACGAAATGTGGATTACATGAGATTCTTTGATTTTATCTCACATGAAAATCTTCAAGTGTAGTACACTTGAATATCATATCTAAATAAAACTTGAAGACGAACGCTTTTATGTTGTATTAGAGGACATCTTATACAGAGAGACTTTGCTGCCTTCGAATCGAAGTACTTCTTTAGCAAAAGTTTAATGATTTTTGACGAGCTTTAGTTTAGTTACATTAGGGTGGTAGAAAGTTGGATATGGTGGATAAGCACTAGAACAGGGTACAGAGTACGCTGTTGGCAGTTGTCCTTAAACCTAACTATATAAAATTATATACCAAATAAAAGGTATTGCTCTTTCTAGTAAATATATCATTTAATATATGTAGTTAATTACGTATTTTATAGACAAAACATACGTAATTTATTTATATATTTTGACAGATATTGCATTGAAAATTATGTCAAACTGCAAAAAACTTTAGTGTGGACTTAATTTGGACTACAAATATACCCCATTAAAACCACTTAAATTAATTTTTCTGTAAACAAATCCAAAAGAAGAAAAAGAAACCAAAAATTAGTTGTTTTTGTTCTGACACCGTGAATAACCCTATTGCGTCGATGCATAAGGTTGGTAGTACTGATAAATTTGGTTGCATGCGAAGCATAATCAGCCTTAAGTTTTGAAAAGTTATGTAACGTTCGCATAATCAGATCTTTATAATTAATTTAATATTTTTCTGATTTTTATACCCGAGCGCTCTGCACCTACCTGGCTACGACTATTAGTCTAAGAGCTAGCAACGTTTTTGAGAGAGAATTTCAGGACAGCTGTTTTTTTGATATGACATCTCTCTCACTCCCTCGGTTAGCGTTGGGCCATCTGGCAGACGGTAATGGTTGCGTTGACTAGTAATCGCATCGTATCTTTACAGTTAAAAATGCAAATTTTTTAAATAATTTTAGTAAGCAATTTATATTGAGCTCGAGGTCGTTTTTTAAATTAAAATTTATTGTGGAAAAGCAACAATAATTTGAAAAAATTGTTGAAGTGATAGCTATTTCGGAAATTAAAAAGGCGTACTTAGCACGGTGCATAGGCAACTGGCTGAGTCTGTGGGATCGTCGGTTCGAATCCTACTGAAAGAAGTCTGATGAGGAAATGTGGTGATTTCCGAAATAGCTATCACTTCTACCATTTTTCAAATTATTGTTGCTTTTCCACAATAAATTTTCATTTAAAAAACGGCCTCGAGCTCAATATAAATTGTTGAATATAATTGTTATAAGGCCAAAAAAAAAATAACAAAAAACAAATAATTTTAGTAAGGCTAATTTTCTTTTCATAGGCTATAACTAGCTTTTAGAAACGTAGATTTATTATTGTCAGACATGTCCGTTGTTGCCATACCTCATTTTTTATTAAAAAATAATAATTTTTCAACTAATTTTAATAAAGCTCAAAGTTTAATATGATGTTGTTTAAGTACTAATGAATCTCAAATTAATTTGCCAGACATTAATTCGGTTTCTAAAGCAAGAGCAAGACCGATTTAAAGCTGAAAAAGTATTACGCTGGTAGTGAGGGAAACTATAACTACTTATCTAACGTTATAACATAAATCTAATTATTGGAATATCTAAAATTATATATGTATATTTCTTTTTCAAATACAAACATTAAGACAAATAAAAACCTAAAACATTTCAGAAAACGTCAACTTGTATAGTATCGGAATTAAGCAAGAAAAGTAAGAGAAAAACGTATACATTCTGATATTCATAATTGTGTCATAAAAAATACTGACTTACAACAAATATGCACACTGGATGCCACTATCCAATTCCTATGCAGAATCGCTTGCTGATTCCGAAAATCGAGTATTTTTTCCATAAGTAAGTTTTGGAGTTATTTGCAATTTACCGTTATTCAGCTTAAAAAACACGGAAAGGAGAATACTACTTAGTAAGCGTTATAATCCAAAATTACATGAGGAATTTGGACATTTTTCCCCTTTTCGTTTAGTGACATAGCCCCAAATAAAACAAGTAAGAAAGTCGAAGTTCGGGCGGAGCCTAACAATAAATACCCGGCGCAAGTATTAAATATATCGTCGTTTAAAGTACAAAACCGCGTACCGTCATTCTGCAAAACCGCGTAACTGGCATTTGCGGCCAAAAATTGAATTTGCTCACAAAAGCTCTTGGCTCAATCCTAATCCATTCGTCCTGAAATACACTAGCCACAAATGCGACTGCTTTATAAAAAAGAGAAACATTTTGAAATATGAGTGTTTTTACTCTCTAGAAAATAATTTATGAAACCTCACATACGCGGTTTTGCATTATCTTGATGCGCGGCTTTGCATTTTGTTGATACGCGGTTTTGTACTTTAAACGACGACGATATGCTTTTCACCCTTCCGAAAACTACCGCAACATGGTGAGCAGGGGTGGTTTTGCCTATTTTAAACATCTTCGATAGAACGTTAAGTTAGACATAATGAGATAAACTTATACAGTCATATGTTGGCGGTATCATGCCCATTTTCAAAAATTCCAAATCATGTTACTTCTTTTCAAAGGATTGTTGTTAGCATCAATTTTGAATAAATTAGCTTTAATATTATTTACTGATTTATCGAAGATTTTGTATTTCTCTAAATTACCATTATATCGTATGTGGGCGTNCAGTCATATGTTGGCGGTATCATGCCCATTTTCAAAAATTCCAAATCATGTTACTTCTTTTCAAAGGATTGTTGTTAGCATCAATTTTGAATAAATTAGCTTTAATATTATTTACTGATTTATCGAAGATTTTGTATTTCTCTAAATTACCATTATATCGTATGTGGGCGTGGTTTTGGTCCGATTTTAAAAATTGTAAGCCAACAACTGTGCAAAGTTTCAAAGTTTGGGAGAAATCGGTTGAGCGGTTACTTAGATATACACATGTAATCATAAGTGGGCGTCGCGACGCGTCGCTACCAGTGTTGCCAGAACTTTTTGGGCCGACCGGCTAGTTTGGCAAAAAAAAGCGGCTAAAAATGGCAAAAATGTTTTAGTGAAATTTCACATAGACTCTGGCAAAAAACGGCTAAAATGTTTTAATGAAAATTCCATGCTTTATTTAAATAAATCGCAAGAAACGAAAGACTAGTTAACACCATTAATTTATATCGAGTGTATATTCCTCATCATCAAATGAATCACTATTGTATATATCACCTGAATTCATTAATTTTAAGAGATCGTCATCTACAGTAAAATTATGGC